TATCTAATTATATGATATTATATTGAGAGAAAAAAAAAACTATTAATAATTGGGAGCCTCAACTAAAAATGAAAAAAAAACTAAAAAGTGGTAATTAAAGAGTTTTTGTCGTCAAGAAATGGTAGAGGCCGTCTTGAGATCAATAACGACGACATTAATATTTTCTTTGCTTCCTCTAGCAATTGCAAGCTCTGCAAGTATCACTGCAGCCTTTGCTGTGCTTGATTCACTTTGACATCCGTTAAGTTTAATAGGCAAAAACAAAAAATAATTAGTATTTGAGATCATTAATAAGTCTTACACTGCCAATATTGTTTAATAAAACAGAATATTGTTTAACTTACTTTTTACTATTTTTAAAAAATCTCTTTGACCAAAAAATTTGTATTCTACAAGTTGAATAAATTTAAAATTTAGATAAAAATATGAAACAAAAATAAATTAAGGTTAAAAAAAAAAATGTTGGGATATCAATCTAAGTCCCCACATCGGAAGTTTAGACAGGAATTGTCTAGTATATAAAAGATGTCTAACTCTAATTAGTATGAGACCTTTTGGAAAGGAGCCCAAGAACAAATCCGTGCAGACTTTGCCTCTGGGCCCAAAGCGAACAATATCATACTAATGGGAAGAGTTGGACATGGATTTGAAAAGCCCCACAAATTGGTATCAGAGCTCAGATTCAGCAAAAAAAGACCTAGAGGAGTGGGTGTGGGCTGCAAGTTCGTTGTGGGAGGAGAGCCTCAAAGTGACCTCGCGATTAAAAGGGTGCCGGTGTCTTGTGTCGAAAGTCTTTCTAACTAAGCGGAAGGTTAGGCGGCAGATTCCGTTGGTGATTACGGCGTTACAAGATGGGTGTCAAGTTTCGCTGGAGGTGGGAGGACACATGTCAATGTGGTCCTTGGTTTTGAGGGGAGGATTGTTGGGATATCAATCCAAGTCCCACATCGGAAGTTTAGACAGGAATTGTCTATAGTACATAAGAGATGTCCAACTCTAATTAGTATGAGATTTTTTGGGAAGGAGTCCAAGAGCAAATCGGTGCGGACTTTGTCTCTGGGCCTAAATCAGACAATATCATATTAATGGGAAGAGTTGGACATGAACTTGAAAAGCTCCACAAAAAATAAATTGATAGAACACTTTATAATAAAAAAAAAAGAAGAAAAAAGGACTATAGTATTATCTTAAAACCTAAATGGACAAAAGATCAATTGTATTCTTCAAAGCCAACGATAATATTATATATTAACCATAAATGAAATCAATATCTTTATGTATTAATAATAAGAAAAAACTGATATATAATTTTAAAAGATCTAACCCGTCTGGTAATTTGCCGTGTAGGCAACGTTTGACAAGTTGATATGTGTCATCGTCGGAGACAACGTCCCAAAGGCCATCGCATGCAAGTACTATGAAATCGTCCATCTTCTTTCGCTTATGGATCTTCAATATTTGCTCTACACCACTCTGTACAATTTTATTTTTAATAAAAAAATCATTTATTTGGTTCGACATACAAAAAAGGAGATTTTAATTGCCGTGACCCGACGTTCGAATTCCTAGTGATAAAGGGGATGATCGGTAAAAACTGTCACTGTAGGCTATGACTATAAACTTTTGACTGTCGAAAAAAACTGTAGCTGTTACTTAAAAAAAGTATTAAAGTTTGATTGATAACAAAAACTGTAGAAACTTAT